TCTGGGGAAGGACGAGTAGGAAAAGGCAAGGCCATATTTACGTAGATGCTTTGATAGCAAGGCTGATAGTTTTCGGGACTTACATCATAGAACCTGGCAATATGATGGCGTTTGGTTTGTACTGTTCGACTACATGGGATTATCAATTCTACCACAAGTATTCGGAACTCACCATTGACAATTGTGATATCCATGGGTAAATAATTGTGGCATTGCTGCTTGGTACGTCACGTTCTTAGGCAGATGTTAAATCCATGTAAATGGAAAAAAAAAAAAATGCAGAGCACACAGGACCACGTTGCACGCCTTTTGGCCCCCAAATAAGTACGTGTACCCGATCAGATGGAAGCATGCGAATCCGACTCGAGGGTAGCCTTGTTTGATCGTGCAACTCAACATGTTCGCATCTATCACAACCGGTTTACGAACTGACTTTGTCGTGCCACAGGGTAGCCTCGCTTGAATTGAAATATCCAGAAGACACCCCGTTTGATGTTACGTACCGCTGGCCCCTACAGCTCGCGGCAAATACGCCAAGCACCAGGTAAAACGGCTTGGCGGGAGGGGCTGCAGGGGTCAGAGTGCACTCTGCAATTTACATTTTCTCCATCCGAATCGGCTAGTGCCTGACCGACGGGTTCGAATTTTATCGAGTGCGAGATTGGCTATTGTCGCACTCGTACAGGCTGCGTAAACGCACGCGTGGCTCCAACTGTTGCTGGTCTTGGCATTGAAGGATCACGAAAGGGGAGAATGAGAATGTCTGGCGATTCCTCCTCGAGCTCTAGACTTTGTATCCTTGCCAAAGACATAACAGAGCCGCATCGGCATAGGTTTTTTCACAAGAAGTCTGAGTCTCGAGCGGCCATCTTGGCAGTGGTGGGTTGATCATCACCAGTTGGACCGAGGACGCGCAATGCGGCTCAATCCTCAAACCGATCAGCAATTCAGGGTGCCCGATAATGATTCGCATCTCCTGCCAAGATCTGCATCGTTCTGGATGGCAAGGAACCCATTAGTGCCTCAACCCCACAAAAGTACACATCTCGTCTCTGCAAATGTGTAAACGAATCATGGTGATTGCGTAGCGGCTGGCGAAGTATCTGACGGACGGTTCGGGGGGAACCGATCGATGGCGCACAGCCACGACCCGGAGCCTGCTCCTTTTGATAGGTGTGGCTGATGCGGGCCAGGACGGCGGCGCACACCAAGCAGCACCGCCTAGTTGGCCTTCCTGAAATTCCGTGATAATTAATTGTGCTCAGAAAAGATCCCGATGGACTGTAGCACAAAGTCCGGAAAAAGGATGGGTCAAGCCAAAGTCACGCACAGGCTGTGCCACGCTCAAATTGGACGACAGGTCAGCGCCTCGTCATCGCCCATCTAGGTTTGCTGATGATGCAGCTAGTAGGTACAGGTACTTGCTGCTGCGGCTGCGCAATCCCAACTCTAATGCCCTGGTCCCATTCCGAACATCTGCACTCGCAAGCTGAAGGGTACCTCTGCTGCCTAGTATCTGTGGCCGGAGTGGGCAGCCCGGCAGCTCTTCACAGGCAATCTCGAACCTGGATGGTGAAGCCTGGTACCCAGACAATATTCTCAATGTGAGCGGTGCCGTAGACCGACCCCCTTTGGATCTTTGGATCAATTCTGCCATCAGGATGACCAACGTGCTGGTACGGAGGAAAGTGCTGGGTACCTGGTTATTTCTGCCTCATCGGGGCAGTGATGACGCTAACCGCACGCAGCACTGGGCTGCTAAGGTACAAGGGCTGGGGCCGTCCAGCGTCGATTCTATTAGTAAATGGGACAAGTAGCTGTACTTCCTGCCGGGCTATGCGGAGCCCCTGTAGGCGATGCATGACGCTGCTGATTGGCTGCCACCCAAAGCTGACGCGTAAACGACCACCACCAAGACGCTTGGAGGCGACGCAGACCGTCCCATGGTGCCATCCATGGGCGGTCCATTATGGATGTGCTCTGGCCGGGGCCCCTCCCTCCTTCCTAGTCGCCATTACCCATCTCAAACTACCTACTACAGGTAGAATCCTTTTCACAGCAAACAACCCGCTTCGATCGCAGCCGCGCATCACCGTCTATCTGAATTGAGCACAGGTTGTGATCAATTTAAAAAACCGTCCGCCCTCAGATCTCTCGATACCGCTGGTAAAGGCGCGGGCCAATCACTGGACGATAGGCGCTTAGGGGAGCCTGTGGCGAAACTCGAAGAGGCCTACGAATCCCCTAGCTGACGACGACCAGAACGCACCACACACGACGACCAGTTTGCACAGGCAACACTTTAGAACTCCGTCGCCGTTTCTCACCTAGGATTTAATACATCACCTACCTGAACACCCCTAGACACTTGGACATATCCCCTCAACGTCAAACCTGGCTATCACGGACACAACCGCCCACCATGGCCGGCCATGAAACGCATTTCGGGTCGAATACCCCTTCGAACGGGGATTATGGAGAGGAATGGGCTCACGACCTACGCATCAAGTTCGAAGGCTTGCTGCGTGATAAGCGAATGAATGACCTCCGCAACACATCTCGACATGCCTCACCAACCCCAGGCTTGGGAGAGCGTGCATCCAGTGCCAACCTCCGAGCACCCGGCCACCACTCCCAAGAACGCCCAACAACATCTAGCGGGCCAACGACCCCCCCGTCCTACTCGGCTCTTCGCCATCTTCCCAAGATTCCCACAGCACCCGCAGCAGGCGATCGAGACTCACAAAAATTCCGCAACCTGCTCATCGGTCTATCGTTGACGCCCGGCAAATACGAGAACCCCGGCTTATTAGATGAGGCATTGCAGATTATTCCCCTTGATCGGATTTACAGCGAGGCAGAGGAGGAGACGCAAGTTTTGCAGGCCGAGGCGGAGAGTATGGGTGACGGTCGGAGACCGGAATGGGGTTACCAAGACTGCGTTATCCGAGCCCTGCTAAGGTATGTTCTTTTCTCTTGCTTCCCGTTCGAGGCCACCTTCTGATTCGTATTTTCTAGATGGTTCAAGCGTTCATTTTTCACATGGGTAAACAACCCTCCTTGCCAGCTTTGCTTGTCACCTACCATCGCACAAGGAATGACTACGCCCACGCCAGAGGAGAGTGCCTGTGGCGCTCTGCGAGTAGAGTTATACAGGTGCTCAAACCAGTCCTGCGGTACCTACGAGCGATTCCCACGATACGGTGATGTGTGGCGATTGCTTCAGACGCGCCGAGGAAGAGTGGGAGAGTGGGCGAACTGCTTCAGCATGCTTTGCAGAGCCGTCGGTGGTCGTGTGCGATGGGTATGGAACGCTGAGGACCATGTCTGGACGGAGGTCTACTCCGACCACCAGCGCAGATGGGTCCACGTTGATGCGTGCGAGGAAGCTTGGGATAACCCACAGTTATACACGAACGGCTGGGGCAAAAAGATGTCTTATTGCATTGCCTTCTCTATTGACGGAGCGACCGACGTAACCCGACGATACGTTCGTAAGGCGGAGCATGCAACCGAGAGAAACCGATGCCCAGAGGAGGTGCTACTCTACATCATGGCTGAGATCAAGAACCTGCGCCGAGCCAATATGAACAAGGACGAGCGCTTCCGGCTCGAGAAGGAAGATCAGCAAGAAGATCTCCAGCTCAGAGAGTACGTGGTTGCTACCATTGCCCAAGCCGTAACCGACCTCGTTCCAGGAGCCAGCTCTTCCAGCGGTGGCAGACAACAGACTGTCCCCGGCCAAGACCACAAGCTTCCAGCGGAGCAGCCAGCACGACAAAATGGTTCCCAAGAATCAGTGGCACAACCTCGAGGCCAATACCAACAGCCACCTTATCCCCCGCGCCATCGACGGGACTACCATTAAACCTTTCATATTCTACCGCCACCGCCTTTACATGAACAGCTACAACCATTTACCTACACGCCAACAACCGGTGATCACTTCCATGATGAACCGACAACACATACGATGATGATAATACACGATTTCGTTGATATGCCGCCAACGATACATTCTCAGTCGCTCACACATTTCTCCTTTCTTAATCCTCAACCACCACCATTAACAACATAGACTTGGCGTTCATTCCATCATCAAGTCATCTATCGAGACGGCACGCCTATCATTCTTGACCACACTTGTTTTCTTTTGTCTTTTCTCTTATTTGTGTATGTATCTTCAATATACGGCTGTCTTCTTGGATGCCCTGGTATTGGGCAGGTGTCTTGGGGAGACGATATGCAAGGGAACCACTTGCGGACATTTACTTTTCCTGGTTACGGGAAGGCCCGGCTTCGGCCTTCAGATGTGCCTGCGGCGTTGACGGTTGCTTTTTATTCGCTTTGGGATAGCATAAGCGATTCAATATGGGCATGGGATCCATGGAGAAAAGGAGACGAATTCATTTTAAGACCTGGATTAGTAGTAGAGACAACGCAGAATGCTTGTCCTTATATATGTTTACCATTGAAACATGATATGGTTTTAAATCGCCTTTTGACAACTTATATGAAAGCATGCTTGAGCTTTGATTGACGTGAGCCACGGCCATTCCCTTGATTGATCCTAATTTAAGATGCTCTGCTAAAAAAGCGGAAACGAGCTCATGATTTTGAAAGCAAAGCGAAGGATATCTTACCGTAGCGGGGAGGTCTATGCTTTAGATTATTCTACTCTTTATAATTTCTGCTGAGAATTAGCTGCTTCTTCGTTCATTTGGGTCTTTACTATGGTTTGGGTGTGCCGTTTGCTGTGTCACTCACGTAGGTGCCCAACACACTGGTGCGGCCTGGCTTAATGCAAGGAAAGGGCAGATATGAGGAGGCACAGCACGTGACCACCCCTCATCAACAGCTTCGAAACAATGGATGATTCAATCGCAGCCTCTACCTCAAGACATTATTTCGTTTAGAATTAGAGCGAATCGCCCTCTTCCGGGATACTTTCGGAACTCGCAAATTATTGTCGTTCGCACCCCCAGCCAGAAACCGCAATCATGGGGAGCGTTAAACAAACCGGGAATCGGCACTTACGTCAACTAGGTGCTAATACAGAAACAAACCCCGGCAGCGCCTATACCCCTATCGATCTTACACAGGATTCTTCGGAAGACGAACATGCTGCTGGGAGTTCAAGAAAGAGACGCCGGCCAGATGAGGAATGCCAGGGTCGGAGTGCATCATCTCTAAAAAGAGCTATTGCTACCCCAACTCGAGCTCACCCACCATCATCACCGGCATCCACCAAGGGAAATAGGGATGGGGCTGCTCGAGAGCCCTCATCCGAAAAGAGGCTACGAAGATATAGACCGCAGCCGCCGCAGAGTTTCGGTGATATTCTCTACCGCGCCACCTCCCAGAGATTCTTTGTTCTGGAACGAACGAGAGCTGGGACGGGAGACTGCCCAGAAGAGATCGTTGAGCTGACAGGCTCAACGGGCAATATATACACTGTTTTCATCGGGCTTGTGCCTCGCTGCGACTGCCCTCATTCTAAGAAGGGAAACCAGTGCAAGCATATCATATTTGTTCGTTTGACTTTCAGCCTTCTGTTTCGGGGCATCTGTACTGACCCGGATTAGGTTATGAAAAAGGTGCTTAATGCGCCGTATCATCTTGTCTATCAGCTCGCACTGCTCAAGTCCGAACTCATTGAGATCTTCAAGTCTGCCCCACCTATTTTGACATCTCCATCTGAGCCTCAGGACAAGAATCGCAAATCCCTGGACAATGACTGCCCCATCTGTTTCTCGGACTTTGACAAGAGTCGCCCCAAGTCCATCGTCTGGTGCCGGGCCGCCTGTGGCCAGAACATGCACCAGGAGTGCTTCCAGACCTGGGCCCGGTCGAAAGTCGGAAGGCCGACGTGTCCAATGTGCCGCAGTGTGTGGGAGGAGGACGAGGGCACTGCGAAGCAGGTCTCCAAGTCGCAAGGCAGACTCAGCGAGGGTTATGTGAATGTTGCAAACCAGCTTGGGATCAACGGCCGCAGAGGTGTGTCTAAATTCAGGTGATGGGTTACTTGGCTGCTGTGCTATCTGCTGACCACTCTTTTGACAGATACGAGCACATATTCCGAGTGGTATTTCCGACCATCTTATGGCCGAAGACCTTATGGTCGAAGATGAAGGGAACCCCCCGTGATGATTTCAGAGTAAAATTCTTGCCCTGCTACCCAAAGTATTACGTCCGAGGCGGAAAGGCAGATTTCCAAGTTGTAATGGCAATCTCGAAGCATCTTCAGATCGTATTTATCGAACTTTGAGATCTGGAATAAGCATGCCTGCCGAAACTACCCTGCTAGCTTACGTGCGTGCTGGGCGATGTGGGATTTATATTGGCACGTTTATTTGCTTCAAGTGAAGGAAGCCCAAGGCACAGGGGAACTTGTATCCTCGGCGTAATCGTCCAGACATTGGGGCTACAAGTAACATTTCAGCCACTGAAACTAATGCAATCTCATACAGCATGCGAGTGGCCCTGGACGCTTCAACAGCGCTCACAAGGTGTCGGAACTTGGGCGGAGAAGTGCAAGATGTCCTACTGGGGAAGCAAAGCACGGTCATGCGGCCCCGGCAATCCGGATGTTATTGCTCGTGTTGTTGGATGCCGTCTAAGTACAGGCTAGGAAGAAAATAAACAACATTCAAGTAATTGATTTGTTTTTATGCCACTGACAATATGCGGTATCATAGGGCTGTCCGGTGGGGTGTCGCGCGAAACACTCAACGCGCTGTTAATTACGAGTCGCGTGTATGCGCGCGTCCCCTGCCGGCTGACTCTGTGCTGCCCCAGCCTCCTGCCTTATATTAAATGTTCCCCATTCTATCAATCTCACCCTCTACATCTCAACCACAATAGAAACCTTACTTGTATCCATTTCAATTAGACATACTGTCTTTCTCGATTAATCCTCACACATACAGCCATGGAGTTGAAACGAAAGCGATCCTTTTCCTCTGCCCTGAGCTCCCCCAATTCCTCCCTGTCCAGCTCCCCTCCACACGACCGGGCAACGATGCTGTCCATGGTCACGTCTCCGCTCCTTCACAGCCGCACAATGAAGCGGTTTCGCAACAGCCGCCCTTCTGAGGAACAGGTCCACCGTAAGTTTTTTTTCTTTGCAATTCGACTCGTGCAGTCTCCATATACTCATCTCCTCCCTGCAGAACGAACCCTCGGCCTCCTATACTCAGCACAGCAGAACCCGGCCATGGTCCCGGAGCCGGCACCCGAATCTCTCTCGTTGAACAGCACATCTGGCCGACAGCAACAGTCACTCCACCGCTTCTGGAACATCAATTCGAGACCCTCGGCGAGAATAGAAACGATGGCTGTGGCGAGTTTCTCCCCAACTGCGTGCGAGGACTGCGGCGCTGGCCTGGGGGTTCCCGGCCAAGACGATGGAATGGACATCGATTCCGCCGGGTTCGACGACGATGCAGCCTGCGGAGCATGCGGGAAACACGTCTGCTTCAGCTGCTCGGTGAGCAACCTCGGCGAGCAGAAGCGGTGCTTACAATGCGCTGGGCCGCGTCCGACTCGGACCGGCTGAGTCCGGAGCAGGACGTGTCGAGTGGTGCCGGATCATCCATTCCGAGTTTTGGGGGGTTGGGCAACTATGTTTTGGAAGGGACTTGGCGTTCTTCATCAGGGTTTTGGCTCTTGTGGTGTTTATGGCAGGGTATTTCAGGGATTCATCGGAAGCGTGTGCTATTTTGGGCTTTTCACATCATGAACCGGATCAATTATAATGACAGGTATTGGTGAATATATACCACAGCCAATTACACGAATCAATAAGTTCAAAGAGACCATTATTTCGTTTCATATGAGGGAAAATGATGTATTAAGATATAATAAAGATTTATCTTTGCAAAGAAATTAACCGCGTCGGCGGGTAGTTGGCCCCTTCTTTGTAGGAGTGCTTGAGCTAGTGGCAGAGGCAGCCTCAACGGGGACCGCCTTGCGCTTTCCCTTGGCCTTCTCCGAGGGTGCGTTCCAGTAGAAGGCCATCTGTAAGGCAAGGACGGCATTGAGGATGAAACCGGAGACACAGCTGAAAAGAATGAGCTTGTCGTCAACCTCCTGGAGAGTGGTGAAGATGCGGGAGAGGGAACCAGCAAGGTAGTTGAAGACCTATTGATAGATTAGCTGTGAACGGAGGAGTGAAACATCATGCCGTTCGAACATGGCGCAGACCAGGGGGGGTTACTTACAGCAAAAGCGCTGAGCTGGCCAGTTCCGCCCTGCTGGTAGATGGCAGCGATCTGCGGCAGCTTGCTGGCAACACCGAGAGCCGCTGCGCCTGCCTGCAGGTAGCTCAGTGTCTGCATGTTGAACACATTTTCGGTGAAGAGGGCACCGATGGCTCCAGCAATGGCGGCAATGAGGACTGCGGCATAGCTCGCCCGTCCGCTGTAGTTCAGGACCAGGACCGAGATGATGACATTCTGACCGAGGATCAGAGCAGTCTCGCCGTATGTGCTGAATGGGAATCCGTTTCGGAAGTTGTAGGCCAGAGATATCAGGTAGGCGCTCGTCTCGAGGAGGTAGGAGAGGAAAGACACGCCAGCGGCCGACTTGGAGTTGAGGAGCTTGAGAATCTGGGGGACCTTGACGATGGACGAGGCGGCAATGATACCAATCCCCAGGCCCTTGCTGATGGCAAGCTTGAGGCAATCTACATCCTGGAGGTTCACATCGAGAAGCAGCGTCTTGTAGCAGGTCTCGCCGATGATGGACACTCCAAGGTCGCGGATGGGCGCCGGGAGGTTATGGGTGATGGGCTGGACGGCGGAGCGAAGCACATCCATCCTGGGCGACTTTTCGGCAAGAACGGGAGGTGTGGTCTTGAGGGTGGATGAGTGATCGGCCGGGAGATCCTTGGAATTGCCCGTGTCTGGAGAATTTGTGGTGGTTGACAAACGAGCAGTCAAAGCTGATCAATGGTCAGCCGACAGAAGAATTCTGAACACGGTTCATGGAAGGCACGCGAACCCCAGCACCATGTCCCCTAGCAGGTGGGCTTGGTGGGCTGTTGGCTGCCCAGCCTTAGCTGCCTGCCGGGCCCCCCACCGGCCACTACGTATCGAGTCCATGTCAAGCAGTCAGTTCTCATAATCACCCAACGGATAGCATCCTGATGACATCAGGTGGGTTTGGCATGAGGCCAGCATGCGCTTATTTCCTGCTTCGAGCCAGGTATGACGGCCCGGATGCCACTTCCATCTATCGGCAGAAGCACGACGCAGGACGAGAAAGTGGGATTGCTGGAACTGCGCCTTGCAGAATCTCATTTGTGACCGCTACCACAGTCGCAATACAAAGGGCCTGTGGTTCGGTCGCAGAGAGGCTCAGAAGGGTGTATTCATCACCTCTGCGATTACCTTAGCAGGGAGGGCAAGGTGGCATGTGTCACTCCGCGCTCGCTGTACCTTGCTGTGTCACCGGCGATCCCATCCATTTCTATTAACGTCCACGGTCCGCGCATTGCTACGGGTAGGTAGGCGCCTGGGGAGGGGCCTACACCAAGGCAGCCATTACCCCATTGTTCCAAGCCCCAAGACCAAGACGACGCCAAAATGCGGCCCTTAATTGGGCCTGCTATGAAGCGAGTGTCCCATGCCAAGGTTGGCAGTTTGATAATTGTCCTCGTCGTTAGGCTGAATCGCCTGGCTCAATCAAACGAGAATGGCAATGAGGGCATTCTCGTTCTCGCTGTCCAAATGCTTTTGTCCCAGAGATCCCTGGTGGGACGGAAGCAGATGCGTCATACGTGAGGATTCCACAGACTTCCATTCGTCCCAGGCACAGAGTAGAGGCCACTTAGTAAGGCAGACGGAGGCTTGCATGCATCAAACGCATTGTGCATCAAGTGTGTGCATCCTCCGGCGGTATGGTGGAAAGCGTTAAAACAAGGATGCACGTGTCAGCCCCCGACGGGACTCCGTTGGGCTGTCCATTATTACCAACAAACCTGACCACTCTCCACTGCTGCTAGGCACAGCTAGTCGCATCGATCTGCCCATCCATCTCACAATACTGGCCAGCTAAGAAGGGACCTGGCACCGGGGTGGGAGCCTATCCGAGGGCCAGCGCTTATTACTTGAGTGCTGGAGGCAAACAATACCATGAACGAATGCCCGTAAGAGTGAAACCGGAGAGGCGAGTCACGGCAGCATACCCAATCTCGACGATCCCTCGACTTAGCAGCTCGTGTGCGCCACTCATTCTGACCTGCATACATACATAGATAGATCGATCTGCTCGCCCGCCTGTTCCTTCTCCATTTTCTAGCTGGAGGTTTGACTGCCCGCCTGATGCCGGCCACTTGGTACACACTCTCTCTGCACCTTCAAGCACCGGCCCCGCGCCGTTTTAAGGCCTTCCCAACCACACATCCATCATCATGAAGTCAGCCAGCGGCGATGCGCCGCCGTCGCAAGACTCGAAGCCATCGAGTATGCAGTATACCTGGATGTTCGAAGGCAACAATGCCCCTACGAAACAGCTCGACGCATTATTAAGGGCCATCGCACATCATATTGTATGTACCCAGTCCGTCATCGAACACTGCCGCCCTCAGTCCCTCGTCTGCTTTCTTGAGCCTCCAACCTTGCTGCCTGCTAACCGCAACTCTGTATCAGACGCGCGAGATCGGTGACAGAAACGATCCGCATCTAACCCCGAAAAAATTGGCCGCTTTCTACAAGGCCGTCGGTGGCGACTATGATTGTGAGCATTGGGTGTATCTTTACCTACGACGGTGCATGTCGCTAACCCAGGTGGCTCTCTCTTCCTCTTCACAGCCCTCTTCGACAAAGACGACCATACGATATCTGCCATGTGGCAGCTCACTGGCTGCCAGCATTCCTTACAACCTACAGACAACGATTACGCGCCACCCTCGATCCCCGCCCTGACGTCCAGAGGCTTCTCTCGATGGGAGTCTCTCGAAATCCTTCTGGGTCCCGAAGAGCATGTGCCATTTTTGCAGTACGCTGTCAAGAACTGGAACTTGAAGAACCTCGAGACCGGAGAGGCTTTCCCCTCTGATCTACCCAAGAACGTATTCCCAGCTCAGGCTGACCCCGACGTCGATCGCTGGCATGAGGACTGCGCGGCC